CACATTATAAACAGCTTTGTACTTCATTCATGTTGTGAATGTGATGTACCATTCTGTAGTGATGTACCATTTTTCTTACCTGATTCCCTGTTGTCAGACACTTAGGCTGTTTCCAGTTTTTCACTAGAATAAACAGCATTGCAGTGGACATACTCGTAGCTTAACATTGGCTCACATCCTTAATTTTTCATAAAATCAGAATTCACACTAGAAAACTACTTTTGATGTGTGGATGTGGAAGGGGATTAGAAAAGAGTAGGAGGGAATCAGTCAAGAGGCTGGGTCCAATTCCTAGTGATCACTTGATGGGGCTGCAACCAGGGCAGAGGCCTTGGAAACTGCAGGGCAGACAGGAGCCTCCTTGAGGAAACCATTCCTTAGCAGCCCCCCCTCCCCCCAAACTCCAGGCTGGGATAGGTCTCCTCTTCTGGACTCAGCCCAATTTTCACTCTGTCACAGCACTAATATCCCTGTGTTGTCCCTGTCTCCCCCAGCTCTCACCACTAGCTCCTTGAGGATAGGGTCCTCTCTGGGGCCCAAGTTCCTAGTGCTGAATCTGGAAAAGTATTAGTAACTATTGAATAAAGTCACTTAGATAGGTTAAATGATGTGCCTAAGGTCACGTGAATTATAAGTGAAGAAGTAGAGGGTCAAACCCAGGTCTGTCTGACTCCAAAACACCTGCTCTTTACCACTCCAATTGCTTTTGCTTGGCCTGCCTAACCCAACATCTTTCTTTTTTGCCCCCAAGGACTGAGGAGGAGAAGAAAGACTGGGTCCAGGTAACCAAGAAGTCTTTGTGGTAGGGGGATGGAGGAGTATTAACAGTTCTCCCAGGGGTTGGTGAACTCTCCCCTAAAACTCACTTCTGACCAGTATTGGCCTGGACAAGAAACTTTCCCATCCCCATTTTACAGATAAGCTTACTGAGGTCCAGAGGTTAAGCAGAAACTCACAAATTATTACTTTAGAGACCTGGTTCCTCTGAGAGTATAAGCCCAGTGAGTTAAGCCCTGTAAAACCTTAAGCCCAGACAGTGGCTAGGAAGGCCTTCTGAGGTTTTTCAGCCACTGATCCCCCTCCCCCATTTCACAAATATAAGAACTGAGACCTGGATATAGGAAGGGACTTGCTCAAGGCCATACACCTAGCAAGGGGCAGAGCTGTGCCTAGGACCCAACTTTTCTGACCTCAGGCTAGGTCATAGGAAAGTGAGGTGATCTGACCTCTCATTTTTTACACCTCCTACCCAGGCCATCAACTCCACCCTTCTGAAGCATGAACAGACGCTGGAGACCTTCAAACTGTTGAACTCAACAAACAGGGAAGATGAAGACACACCCCCTAACTCTCCAGTAAGAGTCTACACCCCCTCCCTCTACACTGGGCCTCTAAGTCCCCACCTTACCTGGAGATGCCCCTCTCTCCTTCCCAGAGAGGAAAGACCAGAGAGGCAGTGCATGACTTCAGGAGCACAGTCTTCTGTTGGTAGGGCTGCAGAGAAATCACTGGGGAAATGGAGACCCAGAAAGTAGACGTGACTTGTCTTCAGTAGCACAATGAGGTAGGGATAGAGCCAGGACTCAAAGACAGGTCTTCTGAATGTGTCTGCTGCATCCCAATGATGATCCAAGCCTTGGGGCAGGGGCAAGGGTTGGCTGAACTGGGCTGGGGAGTAGCTGTCGCTGACCTGGGACCTGGCCCTCTCTCCAGAACGTGGATCTTGGGAAGCGGGCACCTACACCCATCCGAGAAAAGGAAGTCACCATGTGCATGCGCTGCCAGGAACCCTTCAATTCCATCACCAAGCGCAGGCACCACTGCAAGGCCTGTGGCCATGTGAGTGTTGGGAGACAGGGGCAAGAGCTAGGGAGGGGACAGGCCGGCAGCCTGAAGGCCCACTTCTGAGAGGGCTCGGTGCAAGTGGGGAAAGGCCATGAGTCCACTGTGGGATTTGGTACACTAAAGGGGAAGGCCTTCTGGAATCAGGCATCTCTTGCCCACTTGCCACTCCAGGTGGTTTGCGGGAAGTGCTCCGAGTTCCGGGCCCGCCTCATCTATGACAACAACCGCTCCAACCGTGTGTGCACTGACTGCTACGTGGCCTTGCACGGGGTGCCTGGGAGTAGCCCGGCCTGCAGCCAACATACACCCCAGCGCCGGAGGTCCATCCTGGAGGTAAGAACCAGGCCTATGACCACTAAGCCTTACACACCAACCACATGGGCCCCAGCCACTCACCCAGTGTTCCTGAGGCCTATCTCTGAAACCGTATGGTGCTACGTGCATCCGCTGAACAAGTGACCCAGGCTTGGAGTGAGTAAAATGAATGCAATAGGGAATAGAAAGCCAGTGCTTTAGACATTTAATCTTCACAGTAATGAATCTATATGTACTATTACTATCCTTGTTTTCCAAATGAGGAAACTGAGGCCTAAGGAGGTTATTTACCCAAGTTACACAGCCAGTGACTGGCAGAGCTTGCATGTTTTTTTAATTAACAAATTATCTTTTCTTATTATAAAGTAGGATATGTGCACTGAAGAAAATTAGACAATATAAACAAAAATAATAAAAACACCCTATTTCTTCTACCCACTAGATTACCACTAACACTTATGCTTCCTATCTTTCTAGGCGCGTGCACATTTTGGTTTTGTTTCTTAACCAAATCGAGGTATTTATTTTATTTAACATTTAAAGAACTCTTACTCTGTGCCAGGCACTATTCTAAGTGCTTTGCATCTATTAATTCATTTAATCCTTACGATAGCTCTATATGCTTTCCTTCTAAGTCAATACATTCTCACCTAGAGCTGGGATTCTGAGCCATTCTGCCTTACCCACTCCCCCATCCCCTTAACCACAATGCCAGGTTGCCTCTTGCTGAGTATAGGGAATGGATATGTGATTAAAGATGAAGAAAAGGTGAGGTACAAATGTATAAATGACTTGCAGAATAAATGGACTGATGGAAGAATGCCTGACTGGCATTTAGGTGACCCTGCCAAGAGCTGTACAACCCTCCCACCAACTCTTACCAGCCATGGCCTGTCTGACTCACTGGGGGACATTGGGCAGATCACTACTGCTACCTGAGCTACAGTGTCCTCATCTGAAGTATGAGCATAGCAATACCAACACTGAGGGGTACTGAAACCCAGAGGAGCCAGGCTAGGCTTTCTATCAACAATGATGCCCTCTCTGTCTCTGGCCACAGAAACAGGCCTCAGTGGCTGCAGAGAACAGCGTCATCTGCAGCTTCCTGCACTACATGGAGAAAGGTGGAAAAGGCTGGCACAAGGCATGGTTTGTGGTCCCTGAAAATGAACCCTTGGTGCTGTACATCTATGGAGCCCCTCAGGTGTGCATCCTACTCCTTTGGGTCCTTTCAGCCACCTGGCAAAACCAGGCTATCCTCCTCCCCCTTCAGTCCTTGACCTCTCCTTGGCTTTGGGGGGTTGGGTGAGCCTAAGCTGAAATCAGAACCCCCACCCTTATGAGACAAGGACTGGCTAGAAAGGAGTGACTGTGGGCCAATGTATGTAGGGGAAATTAGGGTGAGTTGGGGAGGAAGCCAGAGTGGAGAAGGTACTACTAGATCCAGTTTGGATGGGGAACAACGTGTAAATGGGGGCAACAGCCTAGACAAAGGCTTGAAAACATTATTTGGTATATAGTGAGGAGATTAGCCCAGCTGGTTTTGGGTATAGGAGGAAACGGGTATTTGAACCAAGCTTGCATCCTAGCCCAACATTTTCCTGTTGCTATCAGTGGAGCCTTGGAAGGTTCTTGATCAGGGAAAAGAAAGAGGGAGTTAGCAGATGAAAAACCAGTGAGAAGCCCAGCCCACGGTGACCCTAGCTCTGTCCGTTCCCCAGGATGTGAAAGCCCAGCGCAGCCTGCCCCTCATTGGCTTTGAGGTGGGGCCTCCTGAGGCAGGGGAGCGGCCTGACAGACGGCATGTCTTCAAGATCACCCAGAGCCACCTGAGCTGGTACTTCAGCCCTGAGACAGAGGAGCTGCAGCGGCGCTGGATGGCCGTGCTCGGCCGGGCAGGCCGTGGGGACACGTTCTGCCCAGGGCCCACACTGTCTGAGGACAGGGAGATGGAGGAGGCCCAGGTGGCAGCTTCAGGAGCCACTGCTGAACCCTCTGAAGCCCCCCAGGCCCGAGACAAGACCTAGAGGGTTTGGGGGGAACTGGGGCCCCCTGCCCCACACTCTAGCTGCCCATGTCCAACTGGGGGCCCCAGCCCCCTCCCTCCCAGCTCAGTCAATACTTGAACTCCCATCATGGGCACTTTCAATCCCGAATGCTGGGTCTTGGGTTTTTTAATTCATCTTTTCACAAAACATGGGCTTTTAAAAGAAATATTCCTACAGTGATGTTAATTTTTCTTAATCCCTGTTCCCAGGGAGGGTGGGCTGTTGCTAGACCTGCCTGAACTAGGCAGTTTTCCCCCCATCCCCTCCTTACCCTACAGATCCTGCCTCCGCCCAGTTTCCCCAAAAGCACCAGAGGCAGGAGACCTGGATTCAAGTGCCAATTCTTTCACTGAGTCCATGGCCCTGGCCCACCTCTGCCCCCTCATCCAGTGTCTTCACATGTATGATGCTAGTGGGGTGGTGACCAGATCCTTCCTGCCTCTCCATGGCTTACAGCTTCTACCCAGCCCCAAGGCTACCCAGTATTTTATCGTCCAGACCCATGGCAGGGCCACCGGGCAGGACAGGGGAACGGGGAAGAACAATGGATACTCTTGGTTTTGTTTTGTTTTTTAAAGAAAAATACAGTTTATTTCAGGCTTACGGAAACTGAGTGCACTGCTGTGCTCCATTTGTCCATCTGTTTGTCCAAAGTACCAGACTGCTAGGGTGGGTGGGCCTGGGTTGGTGGGCCCAGGTAGGTGGGCCTAGAACATACTCCCTTGCTGAGCTCTGAATCTCAGCTCCCAGAAAGATGATTTCAAGGCTACTTACAACAGGTCAAGCAACAGATTAAACATTAAGGTATTATTTATTCAAGTCTTAAGCCTCATCTCTGGACTTGGATAGAATTGGATGAAGAGTTTGGAAAGAGGTTGGAGGAAACAGAAAACAAAGCCCAGATCACCTAAGCTTACCACCTTGCCAAGGTCTAGATTTCCTGAAGGAACCCAGGGCTGGAGGCTGGGCTGCAGGATGGAGTGTTCCTGGGAGGTTCCAATTTCTGGATGGGTACAGAGCTGGTTGTGTGTGTGTGTGTGTGTGTGTGTGTGTGTGTGTGTGTGTGTGTGTGTGTGTGTGTGTGTGTGTGTACACGGGCAGCGGGGAAGTGGGAGAAGTAGCACAGCTACTTTCATTCACATCGTCAATGAATCTTCCAGTTGCAAGTTCATCTCACCATTCCTGACCCAGCATGAGTACTGGTTCTGCTGGTTCTCCACCTGTCCACTGTCAGCCAGCATTCAGCTTCTCCAACCACAGCCACTCATCCTACTCTCCTCACACTGACTGCACCCAAGGCACTGTGCTGGGAAACCAGTCCTCATCGTTCAGATAGTAACTTATGGCCCAAGGGGGTGTGGTGAAGCAGGTCCTACCACCCCAAGACCAAGAACCTAGGGCTCTTCTTCCCATGGAGGGAGCTAGACAGGGGAACAGGGAGCAGGTAGAGATGGGATAACCAGTCCAAAGGTCCACAGTCCTCCAAAAAAATCTCAAAACAACTGGTAAACAAGGGCCCAAGCCATTTCCAGCTCCACTCATTTCTTTCTCCGGACAATGGTCCAGCCATCCTCCACTATATCTTCTTCCTTAATAGCCTGGGAGTCTGGACCAGAGGGTTCAGGCTGGGGGCAGACCCCATCGGTAGCTGCTACATCATTTGTAGCTGTGACCTGGAGGAGAAATACAAGAGAGAGCTAAATACACCTTCCAGCTGTGGCCATTGGGAGACCCAGGTCCTCCTCCCAGCTTTGTGACCTTAGGAAAGTTCCTTGCCCTCTCTGAATAATACAACCATTACCACCCCACCACTTCCCTATGAAACTAGCTGATCTCCCAGAAAATTTAAAATATCTACATCTCCCCACCCAAGGGCACCCCTTTCACCTCCATCTCCTCCACGCTGTCCACATCATCCTCATCCGTCTCTCTGGCTGTCGCAAGTGCGGTGGCTCTAACCCTGCACTTTCTTTGGGTGATGTGGGAGGTCATCTCCTTCAGAGCGGCCCCATCACCCCTCTGGAAGTGGTGGAACATGGTCTTTAGCTGCTGGCTGACCTACCAAGAAAACATTCAACCAGCTTGGATTTTCTAGAAAACCTACAATACAATAGCCCGTTTGCAGCAAGAGTGGGGAAAGATTTGGAATTTTTCCAGAAGAGAATGGGGCTCTTTCCTCCCCCAAGGAGTTGACCAATGAAGGAACCACATATGAAGGGCTCAGGTAAAGGCCTGAAGCACTGAACAGAGGCCACCTAGCAGGGAAGGCTCAAAAACTGGCTTTGAAAGATGGAAGATGTAAAGGGAGGCAATCCTAGCAGGGGGAGTGACGCTAACCAGAGCAGGGGTGAAAATGCACCTGGCCTGCCCTGCCCTTGGGATGGCGGTGAGGAACAGACCTGGCTGAGAATGATGTCTCAAGAGAAAAGAGAAGAGGCAGGGTTTGGAAAGGCCTTGGAAGACTAGACTTTTCTATTAGGCAATAGTGAGTCATAAAAGGTTCTTGTGCAAGACTCAAGAAAAGAATGGTTAGAGCCAAGGGTCTTAGCCTAAAATAGACAGTTGGAGAGAAGACAGACTGCAGGCAAGGAGATGGCAGTTGTGTCCATGACATGCTCACCTGAGGCAGACTCCCATCCTCCACAACTGTATCAAACTCGTTGGTCATGAGCTCCCCAAGGAAGTCCTCCACCTCATCTAGCTCCAAGTCCGCTGAGTAGGAAAGGATAGGGCCGTTTGGTCAAAGACCAGCCAACTTCATCACTCCTGCCTGCTATTCTTCATATACCTACTTGCTGGGTCCACATCTGGTAGGTGGGAAGGGTCCAAAGAGTGAGCCTTTTTATTCGCTGAAGTGCTCTGCATTCCAGGTTTGAACATCACTTTTTTTTAATGGAGAGACCCTTTGTAACTGTGACTCTACTGATACAAGAGGTCACAGACCAATGGGACAGGTAAGAAGAAATGGATATAAGTACTTGCAATGATGAAATATCATAGCCTTGACATCAACATCCTATTGTGGGACTTTGGCTAAGCGCCCCTCTCCGGGTTTCAGTTACCTTATAGGCCCATCCACTTTTTCTGAATTGGAGAATTAAGAATGTCTTCCACAAAGCTCCTCACTCTTCCCTGTGGGAGACCTCATACACCCCTTTGGCTTTCCCAACCACTCTAACCAAATATCCCCCAAATCTTCCTCCAACCCAGACTGCTTCACCTGTTTCATAGGTGCCTCAGACTCTCCATATCCAAAGCCAGACTCATCACCTTACCCTTCAAACCTACTCCTCATTCTCCAGGGTTCCTCTGTATCATGAAAGGCACCTAATCCACCAGGCCACTCATACCAGAAACCTGCCTCCTTTTCCTTCCCCCACCACAGCCAAACAATCTCCAGATCCCTAATCCACCCCTTCTTTTCCATGCCTATCATCACCACTGCCCTAGTTCAGGCCTCAAGATTTTCTAGAGAGAAAAAGCCTCCTTATCAGTCTTTCCCTCTCTGGGCCATACTCCATGCTGATTACTTTCTTAACTTTCTAGCCAGCAAATCCCATCCTATTACTCACCTTAGAACCTGTGAATGATTTTTTCTCACCTACTGCAGTGTTCATATTGTGCATTTGAGAAATAACTATCCTGCTGGGTTTTAAAGGAATCTACTGTAGAAAGCTAATGGGAAACGGGCTTCTTTTTAGCAGTTCTTATCCTTCCATGCCTTTACTATGGTATTATTGTGACTCTTAAGTAAGAACTGAAGAAAAGAGCTTTTCTTCCATAATTTGACTGGAGAAGGCTTTTCTTCACTGAACATCTAACAAAACTACTCTTCCATAGTGTGCATTTTGGCAAATGCTAGCCTGAAGGACAAAATCAAAGGCATGTAAGGCCTTCCTTGTTCTACCCTTTTCCAGGGCCTCCCCAGCCCCCAGCTTTAGTCTCTACCAGTCCTCTCTTCCACACAGCAAGAACCCACACAGGCCACACACACACACACACACACACACTCTCTCTCTCACTCTCTCTCTCTCTCTCTCTCTCTCTCTCTCTCTCTCTCCAATACTGAGCACTCTACCACTTTCCAAATATAATAATACATAATCTCCTCATACCACAGAACTTATTTGAGTGTTGCCTCCTCCACCAAGTTAACTCCTTAAGACTCAGCTCAATCACTACCAAAGAAGCCTCCTCCCTAGTTTCATGTTACCCAAGCACCCTGAGCTCCTCTTTAATAGAACACCTACCACCCTGTGTGTAAATGCCTATTTACTTATCTGGATCCCTCACTAGATTGCAAGCTTCCGTGAGAGAAAGGTCTTTGCTTAATGTCATCTCCAAGACTGAAAATCTGAATGAAGAATTTTGTAAAAGTCATACTATGCAAAAAGCCCTCTGCAGGGCCCCTTATTCTTATATGATCCTCAAGACACATCAAAGGTGTAGATGACTTGTTGAAATAGCCAAATGTGGTTATTGAGCACTTAAAATGTGGCTAGGTCAAACTGACATTTGCTAAAACTGTCAAATACCCGGCAGATTTTGAAAACTTAATGCTAAGAGAAGATGTGAAACAACTGCAGAAAGCAGTTGAAGGTGATGTGACTCGCATTATATTTCTATTGCACAGCGCTGGGGTGGCTACTTTGACGCCCATTTCAGGAATTTGGAAACTAAGTGTCAGGGAGGTAAAATGACTTGTCCAGAGTGATATCATGAGTAATACCCGACGGTAAGGCATCTGGACTCAGGATTCTGACTCCAAAGCCTGCATTCATTCCACCTCGCCCTCAGGTACCGACCGACGATTACTCAAGAGGCCGGGCAGACTCGCCAACCGCTGCCTCCGGCTGCCCACCCTCCGCCTCCCTGTCCCCTCACACCTACCCCCCCCCAACCGGCCGCAGCACCTCACATTCACTCACCATTGCGGAAGAAGTACTCCTCCACGGCACCTCCCAGCCACTCGGCCTTCTCCTGGCTGTGCACGCCCCCGAAGCCATTCTCCACGGCGATCTGCAAGCACAGGCCGCAGCCCAACACGTCAGCCCGGCAGCCCGGCAGCCCGGCAGCCCGGCAGCCCGGCAGCCCGCTGGACGTGACGTAGGAGTCCGCCGCCTATGTGGCCGAGCCCCAAGGGCCAATCCCCGCCACCTCCTATTCTGTTCCAGGCCGTAACCATTCCCCGTCCAGCCCCACTCACCTGCAAGGCGGGCCAGGCCTCCAGAGCCGCGCGGACACCAGCCCCGAAGAGCGCTCTCAAATCTCCCCCAGCGCCCGCCATCATCGGGCCGGAGCACCTGGGCCTGCGGCTGCCCAATCCCCGGGCAGCACTGCCCAGGCAGGATGAATCGAAAGCCGAGCCTGAGAACTCAGATTCATCTTTCCGCTGACCTGGCACCAAGACTAGAGCAATAGAAAAGCCTGTGAGAGGAACGGATGATAGCACCACACTTACTCGGGTGCAAGAATTCAATCAAAGGAAGCCAGAAGTGGAGGACGGGGCGGTCCATGGGTTCTCAGGCCATATTGGTACATCTTAGTCCAGAATGACTGGTGTGCTTGTGAGAAGAGGAGAATAGGACACAGAGAGAGACACCACACACATGCATGCAGGGAGAGATGACTATATGAACACAGAGAGAAAGTAGACCTCTGCAAGCCAAGGAGAAAGGCCTCAGCGGAAACCAAACCTGCCAACACCTTGATCTCGAACCTCTAGCTTCTAGACCTTAGAGAGAATACATTTTTGTTATTAAAGCCACGAGTGTGTGATATTTTGTAGTAGCCCTAGGAAACTGATACAGTTGCACAACTCTGAATACACTAAAAACCATTGAATTGAACACTTGAAATGAGTAAAATTTATAAATAATATTTTAATAAAGCTGTTCTTGGAAAAGTATTGTAGATGACTTTCTCAAACAGCAGTTTGCAAACTTTGGACTAGACCGTTGTTAACAAACAGGACTGATGATTCTGTGCCTGGCCCTGTGCTGAAAGCTGTTGGGTCATGGAGTTTGATCAGATGCTCAAGGAGCTCAAAGTCTGGCAAGCAAGATTTGTCCAAGGACCATAGAGTATGATCAGTGCTCAGGGTGAATCTGGGTTTTGAAGGGCCTGAAGCAGATAGAATTTTGCAAGCTCTCTTTAAGAAAAATAGGACAGCCCTGGCTGGTGTTGCTCAGTTGATTGAGCATCACCCCAAGGACCAAGAGGTCACCAGTTCAATTCCACGTCAGGCACATGCAGGGGGCCTCCAGGAAGCAGCCCATAGATGTTTCTCTTTCCCTCTCCCTACCTCTCTCTAAAAATCAATAAAGCCCACCCGGGCGTGGCTCAGCAGTTGAGCATCTACCTGGGATCCAGGCGATCAGGATTCGATTCCAGGTGGGGGCACATGCCCGGTTGTGGGCTTGATCAATGACTCTCATCATTGATGTTTCTGTCTCTCTCTCTCCCTCTCCTTTCCTCTCTCTGAAATCAATAAAGATATATTTTAAAAAATAAAAATAAAAATCAATAAAAACATTTTTAGAAGTTTTTTTAAAAGAAAAATAGTACAAATTTAGGTAAGATAGATTTGCAAAAGAAATCACAAATTTTACAAACTATAATTTTTAAACTGACAAATGCCACAAGCATCCTCAAATCCAGAAAAATAAAATTCTTATGAATTGCCTGACTCACCCCTCTATTAATATTTCCATTTTTTATATCCTCTTGTAAATAAATAGGACAATTATTTTAAGATAACATTTGCTAGAGAGAATAAAAAGAATTCAATTCCATTCAATTGATAAAATCTCTTTTATTATTGGTAGTTTAGGAAAGTTTCAACTTCGCAACTCGCTATTAGTAATGTAAATTTTAAGATTGTTGTCCAATTTGGGAAAACCTCTTATCTAGTTTCGTTTGCATGTGAGCTAAAATTTCAGAGTATTTTAACTGTTCTTGCGCAGAGACAAATCTTCAATACGCTTCAAATTGACAGTGCTCAATAAAACAACCAGGGACTTGGAACTGGCCTGTGTCGGTGCAAGGCACTGAGGCTTAAGCTTGATTAGTTCTCCAGCTCTGTGCAGTGCCATAGGAGAAAGGAGAACAGGGGAGTCCGGGGGAGGGGGGTTTCTGACCCAGCCTTGGGGGTTATGACCTCTCAGAGATGATGCCAGATGGGATACAAAGTTTGAGTTGAATTTTGCAAGGCAATGGGGAGTTTGTGTGTATGAGGGTGGGGGTGTTACTAAAAGAAAGAACCTATCATGCTGAGGAAACAATGTATATACAAAGACTCAGAAACAAGAAACAACATGGTATGTGATGAGCTTCGTGAGCATTCCCAGACTGTTAAACTCAGGAGGCATAAACTCCTCCCAGAGTCCAAAGGCTCCTTTGATACATTCTGGCAGATGTATCAATGTAAACGCAGCAATTTAGATTGCGTTTAAAGAGGCCCAAATGCAGAAACCGAGATGAAGCAACTCTGCCTGACTTCCTAGGGTCTGAGGCCCTAGGGAGGGAGTCGATTAGATTCTCGTCACCAGTTCCAATGCGTGTGGGGGTTTTCCAGGCAATTCTCTGACATCCACTGGGTGTCCTACAAGTCAACTCAATTCTGACACTATCAGCCTGGAGGTAGCATCAAATCTCATAGGTTAAGGGCTCAGTCCTACAAGACTCCCCCGCAGACACACACTCCAGACTCCAATCACAAATTCAGGCTGTCACCTGTGCTTCTGACCAACCAGCTGTAGATCAGAGGTTCCAACCACCCCCTCCTTGGATTCTATTAATTTGCCAGAGAGGCCCACAAAACACAGAGAAACATTTTACTCACTAGATCACCGGTTTATTAAAAAAAGGACATAATGGGAACAGCCAGATGGAAGAGAGGCATAGGCCAAGGTACAGGGAAGAGGTACAGAGCTTCCATGCTCTCTGAAGGCACCACTCTCCCCACATTTCCATGTGTTTATCAACCCAAAAGCTCTCTGAACCCTGCCTGTCCTTTGGGTTTTCATGGAGGCTTCATCATAGGCATAATTGAACAAATCATTGACTACGGTGCTTGAACTCAATTTCCAGCCTCTCTCGCTTCCCAGGAGGTCCTGGAATGAGAATGAACATTCCAACCCTCTAATCACAGGATTGGGCCCACAGGCAACCTATTCTTACCAAGGGAATTTCCCAAAGTCGCCTCATTAACATAACAAAAGACACCTTTTACCCTTGTCACAGTTTAGGAAATTCTAAAGGGGAATTAGGGGCTCTGTGCTAGAAAAGTGGTGGAAGACCAAATATCCAAATACATATATCTTATCATATTCACATATCACAGTAGGCCTGCTAGAAATCCCCACACATGGAGCCCCCTTTTGGGCTCCAACAAACCAAGGCCTCCGAATTTCAGGCTGAGTATACTGACAGATTTCTCCACTTATTCTGTGCCTTGAACACATATGGCAATCTGGTGAAGCCAATACATCCCTTCCCATAATAATGTTTTTATTTTTTCTTTATTTTTTTCTTTATTGATTTTAGAGAGAGGAGGGAAGGGAGAGAGACAAAGAGAGAGGGGGAAGAGAGAGAAACATCAATTTGTTGTTGCACTTATTTATGTGTTCATTGGTTGATTACTGTATTTGCCCTGAATGGAGATTAAACCCACAAACTTGGTGTGTTGGGATGATGCTCTAACCAACTGATCTACCTGGCCAGGGGCCCAGAATAATGTTTTTAAATGCATAAAATAAAATATGGGATTACAAAGGAAACCAATTTAATTAAAATGCAGTTATCGAAATGTTACAAAAATAAATTGTAATATATGTGTTTCTTTATTAATGCATTAAATACTATGATGCACTAGCAGGTTAAATGACTACAGTACTGAAAATTCAAATTAATGATGAATGTAAACAATATTTTAACAAATCTGCTGTGAAAAATATCTGTGTATTGGTGATAAAGTCATAGGTACTGCTAATATTACTGTGGTTGGTTGCCTACATTCATTATTGAAAGAAATCTTAGATTTCCTTGGAGGTTAGTGAAAACAAGATATTCATTTTTTTTTCGCATTCAAGTACACAGACAGTCGAATTCTACACATGAATGACACTTTATAAGTCCATGGATCCAAGATTACGTACTACTACTCTAGAGCCTACTCTAGAGTGAACGTCTCAGGCTAAATTAAGCCATCAGATGAAGATGACTAGATTGACAGGTCGAAGACTGAACTCTCAAAACCCAAACTCAGTCCTCAGCATGAGGACTCAGGCCGAACTTCAAGACTGAAATGCAGATTGAACCGCCAAACTGAACTGCTGATGTCTAAATGCATAGGGTGTTTCTAGATGGAAACTTTCAGGCAAGGATCCATCTCAGGCTGCCAAGACAGAGCCCACCAGAGATCCCAGGTGAGGTTATCACATCCAGACCCCCTAGGCTTGGCTCCACAGGCTACAAAACCCTAGACTGTTACCAATATCTAAGCTTCCCAAAGCATGCCAGACCCAGCCACCCATTCTGAGCCCTGAGCACCGCACTCACTTGGTGAGAGGCCTTAGTCATATCTTAGACCACAAGTCAGGCTCCCTTACTGAATCCTCAGGTGTCTCAAAACTGAACTGTCAATGTCTAAACCCTCGAAGTCATGTCCCAATAATGAGCCTCTGAGCAGAGCCACTGATCTGAGACCCCAAACTTATCTCCTTGAAAGAGGACGGGGACAACATCTTGGAAGTGGTACCAAGCTGAGTTCCCAGAAGGGAACTGAGTTCACATTGTGGCCACAGATACATCTCTCCCGTGGAAGTATGGGCTGAGCCCATGTTCTGAAACAGACTGAAAGCCTAATGTCTGAGCCCCCAAGTAACATGCCCAAAGTAAGCACTAGAGGGAATTCCCAGAGGGAACCACAGGTATGCATCTCATGGTAGCCATAAGAATGCATCTCATAGACTTTAGATTTCAGGGAGCATAATGGATCAAAGGCCCCAGATGCTGTGTTCTGAAATTCATCTCTGCCTTTGTGCAGAGATCATGCTTCCTGCTAGCTACTGCTGGCCAGTTACTGAGTGTGGTAGAGATACTTTGGTGACTTTGGCTCAAGGATTCCCAGACAGCCTTGCCCAACCTTTCTTGCACTGCCCAGCAATCTAGAACTCTTCAGCTTACCCGTCCCTCTTTCTCTCCTTAGTTTGGGTCAGACTGTTTCGTGTTCTGATGGCCCTCCCAACCTTCCATGGCACCCACCCCATTTTCTTTCATGGGAATTTT